AGGCTGCCCGTGCTCGGTCGTCTTGCTGGGGGTCGCCGAGTTTGTGCTTGAAGGCATCTCTAACTCCGATAGTTAGTGTATGGAAACTACTCAGAAATTGCAGCTCGGTGAGGTCGGCAGGACTGTGAAGGAAGCTGCTAGCTTAGATGTAATTTCAGACGTAGTAACACACTCACAGTACCACTGGGGCAGCTAACAATTGATCCGGTGTCTGAACCACACAAATTTATCTTCTTACTCATCGCATGAATACACTCCCCCGCTTCTCTTCTGAAATCGTGAGCAGGCAATGGTTTGTTTGGGGATTACCTTGATCATCGTAGAGCTTCCAGTGAAGATGGCGGCGACAGTCGGGGGCGCATCGAAGGGGCTCGAAGGGAGAGATGGACGCGTGTGAACGCTTCATTCTCGGCTCCGGCCCTGGCCTGCTACGGAAGGCGCCGAGGCGGACGGGAGACGCCGGTTCGGGAGAAGCGCGAGGATGATGAGGGCTGGAGGGGCGGCAGAGCAGGGCGAGGGGAAGTCCACCCGCGTCCTACGCTCGTCGTTGGCATGGCTGCCTCCGCGGCATCCTCCACCTAGCGACGGGATGGGGGGTCTGTGCCAATGGCGTGGGGGCGGTGACGGGATCTGAGGGCCTCATTCTCGCCCACATAACCGGAGGAGTTAGCGAGGAAGATGCGGCGTGCGTGGGGCGTGGACGAAGGATTGTCTGGCGGGATTAGCGGTTTGTTGATGTGCTCCATCCGGTCGATCTGACCGGGCAGAACATCGAATCTGAACCATTCGATTGGCTGGCAGACCACGAAATTACTATGGACTCTTTGATTTGAGTAATTGGATTAGATCTAAGGGCTCTAATTATCCTGTGTACATTTGCTTGGGTGGTTTTAGGGGAATTCATGTTTGCTCTTTTAATAGTAGTATAGAAAAAAAAGCTGAATTAACTACTCTTTCTCCTCAAACTGAATCAAGATGCACTCGTAATGGGCATATCTTTCCCCGTCTGACAGGTTCAAATTATCATCAGTGCTAGTACCAAGTGCACAGGTCAATTCATGCCAACAGATGTGAACCGAAAAGCAGAAAAAACAAACTAACCTGATTGAGCAATAACCTGAAATACAGCTGCAAATAAGGGTGCAAGCATGGTATCATACATGATTTATCTAGTAAGGATTGTTGTAAGAACTTATTCTGAATTCTCTGAGACCCAAAGAGGTATATTGGACAAACTATTCTGATCTAGAAACCCCGAACAGTCTGGAAGGAGATAATCAAAAGAAAATAGCACATGTATGTTGTCCGATCCATGAATGGCATACAAGCTTCCTACCACAAATTTTAAAAAATTCATGCTAAAATATGAAAGATTGTAGAAGATATAGTACAACAGATGATTGGAGATAAATTCGACGTCTATAACCAAATTTTCAAAACAAGCATAAATTGCACAGAACACCACTCAAATGGTCAGGAGGAAAAACGTGCATCTTCTGTTCCTTTGAATGGGCTCCAGCGTCACTGGGGCAACAACCTCTACATCTTCGACATCCTTCCCCAGTCTGCAACAATAAATAAAAATATTAGGCAGAAATATGCAACTGGCCTGATATCCGTATAGTGACTGCCGCCATCGTGGTGCAGGTGCTCGACCTGAATTAGTGAGAGCTAACCGCTGAATCTTCACGGCGATTACAGCCTTGTGAGCGCTCCCATGAATTAGAGAGAATCACTCCCTGCGCGGATTACAACCATTTTCTTTTATCTATGTGAGAATGCTTGCACTTCCAATACTAATCACAAACAGCTACATGCCTTGGCGATCGGCCGATCTAGATAAACTGAAGAAAAAGGAAAAAGGTATCTCATTCTCATCCATCTACCTACCTACATGTAGTTCTGAACTTAGCCTCCGTGGTGAGCTTCTCCCGCTCGCTGGCCAGAGGCTGCCCGTGCTCGGTCGTCTTGCTGGGGGTCGCCGAGTTTGTGCTTGAAGGCATCTCTAACTCCGATAGTTAGTGTATGGAAACTACTCAGAAATTGCAGCTCGGTGAGGTCGGCAGGACTGTGAAGGAAGCTGCTAGCTTAGATGTAATTTCAGACGTAGTAACACACTCACAGTACCACTGGGGCAGCTAACAATTGATCCGGTGTCTGAACCACACAAATTTATCTTCTTACTCATCGCATGAATACACTCCCCCGCTTCTCTTCTGAAATCGTGAGCAGGCAATGGTTTGTTTGGGGATTACCTTGATCATCGTAGAGCTTCCAGTGAAGATGGCGGCGACAGTCGGGGGCGCATCGAAGGGGCTCGAAGGGAGAGATGGACGCGTGTGAACGCTTCATTCTCGGCTCCGGCCCTGGCCTGCTACGGAAGGCGCCGAGGCGGACGGGAGACGCCGGTTCGGGAGAAGCGCGAGGATGATGAGGGCTGGAGGGGCGGCAGAGCAGGGCGAGGGGAAGTCCACCCACGTCCTACGCTCGTTGTTGGCATGGCTGCCTCCGCGGCATCCTCCACCTAGCGACGGGATGGGGGGTCTGTGCCAATGGCGTGGGGGCGGTGACGGGATCTGAGGGCCTCATTCTCGCCCACATAACCGGAGGAGTTAGCGAGGAAGATGCGGCGTGCGTGGGGCGTGGACGAAGGATTGTCTGGCGGGATTAGCGGTCTGTTGATGTGCTCCATCCGGTCGATCTGACCGGGCAGAACATCGAATCTGAACCATTCGATTGGCTGGCAGACCACGAAATTACTATGGACTCTTTGATTTGAGTAATTGGATTAGATCTAAGGGCTCTAATTATCCTGTGTACATTTGCTTGGGTGGTTTTAGGGGAATTCATGTTTGCTCTTTTAATAGTAGTATAGAAAAAAAAGCTGAATTAACTACTCTTTCTCCTCAAACTGAATCAAGATGCACTCGTAATGGGCATATCTTTCCCCATCTGACAGGTTCAAATTATCATCAGTGCTAGTACCAAGTGCACAGGTCAATTCATGCCAACAGATGTGAACCGAAAAGCAGAAAAAACAAACTAACCTGATTGAGCAATAACCTGAAATACAGCTGCAAATAAGGGTGCAAGCATGGTATCATACATGATTTATCTAGTAAGGATTGTTGTAAGAACTTATTCTGAATTCTCTGAGACCCAAAGAGGTTGGACAAACTATTCTGATCTAGAAACCCCGAACAGTCTGGAAGGAGATAATCAAAAGAAAATAGCACATGTATGTTGTCCGATCCATGAATGGCATACAAGCTTCCTACCACAAATTTTAAAAAATTCATGCTAAAATATGAAAGATTGTAGAAGATATAGTACAACAGATGATTGGAGATAAATTCGACGTCTATAACCAAATTTTCAAAACAAGCATAAATTGCACAGAACACCACTCAAATGGTCAGGAGGAAAAACGCGCATCTTCTATTCCTTTGAATGGGCTCCAGCGTCACTGGGGCAACAACCTCTACATCTTCGGCATCCTTCCCCAGTCTGCAACAATAAATAAAAATATTAGGCAGAAATATGCAACTGGCCTGATATCCGTATAGTGACTGCCGCCATCGTGGTGCAGGTGCTCGACCTGAATTAGTGAGAGCTAACCGCTGAATCTTCACGGCGATTACAGCCTTGTGAGCGCTCCCATGAATTAGAGAGAATCACTCCCTGCGCGGATTACAACCATTTTCTTTTATCTATGTGAGAATGCTTGCACTTCCAATACTAATCACAAACAGCTACATGCCTTGGCGATCGGCCGATCTAGATAAACTGAAGAAAAAGGAAAAAGGTATCTCATTCTCATCCATCTACCTACCTACATGTAGTTCTGAACTTAGCCTCCGTGGTGAGCTTCTCCTGCTCGCTGGCCAGAGGCTGCCCGTGCTCGGTCGCCTTGCTGGGGTTCGCCGAGTTTGTGCTTGAAGGCATCTCTAACTCCGATAGTTAGTGTATGGAAACTACTCAGAAATTGCAGCTCGGTGAGGTCGGCAGGACTGTGAAGGAAGCTGCTAGCTTAGATGTAATTTCAGACGTAGTAACACACTCACAGTACCACCGGGGCAGCTAACAATTGATCCGGTGTCTGAACCACACAAATTTATCTTCTTACTCATCGCATGAATACACTCCCCCGCTTCTCTTCTGAAATCGTGAGCAAGCAATGGTTTGTTTGGGGATTACCTTGATCATCGTAGAGCTTCCAGTGAAGATGGCGGCGACAGTCGGGGGCGCATCGAAGGGGCTCGAAGGGAGAGATGGACGCGTGCGAACGCTTCATTCTCGGCTCCGGCCCTGGCCTGCTATGGAAGGCGCCGAGGCGGACGGGAGACGCCGGTTCGGGAGAAGCGCGAGGATGATGAGGGCTGGAGGGGCGGCAGAGCAGGGCGAGGGGAAGTCCACCCGCGTCCTACGCTCGTCGTTGGCATGGCTGCCTCCGCGGCATCCTCCACCTAGCGACGGGATGGGGGGTTTTGTCAATGGCGTGGGGGCGGTGACGGGATCTGAGGGCCTCATTCTCGCCCACATAACCGGAGGAGTTAGCGAGGAAGATGCGGCGTGCGTGGGGCGTGGACGAAGGATTGTCTGGCGGGATTAGCGGTTTGTTGATGTGCTCCATCCGGTCGATCTGACCGGGCAGAACATCGAATCTGAACCATTCGATTGGCTGGCAGACCACGAAATTACTATGGACTCTTTGATTTGAGTAATTGGATTAGATCTAAGGGCTCTAATTATCCTGTGTACATTTGCTTGAGTGGTTTTAGGGGAATTTATGTTTGCTCTTTTAATAGTAGTATAGAAAAAAAGCTGAACAGGATAACAGAAATAAGCGCCGAGTACATCGCGCATGAGCCCGGCCCGCTACGCTTTTTTTTTTTCACCCTTCCTCTATTAAAACCTAAAACCACCGGCCGCCAACGCCCCTTCCAATCACCGCCGCCGCCGCCGCCTCCTCCACCCGCTCCTCCGCCTGAACCCTAGCCATGGCGTGGCGCGGCGCTGCGTCCCGCACCGTCCTCGCCGCGGTCCGCCGCCCGGCACCCTCCGCCGCGCTCGGCGGCCTCCGCGCCCCTCCTCCCTTCGCGGCCCCGCGCCGCCGGATCCCTTCCCCCTTCGCCCCCTCCCACTCCACCTCCCCGCTCGGGGCCGCACGGTAAGTCAACCCGATGCCCAATTAGGCATTCGCACTGCGTTGAGATGGCGATCTGATGTCCTCATGATGTTGTTGTGCGCGCGCGCGCGCGTGTGTGTGTGCAGGCCCCTGGCGGCCATGATGGGGTCGCCGCTGACGGCGGCGGTGGTGCTAGGGCGGATGACGGCGCACCCGTCTGCCAGCGCCCGGGCCTGCTGCGAGCTCTCCCAGGGTACCCTCTTTTTCTGCCGTACTTGTCAGGATCGCTAATCTAATCGAAGTTAGTGTCGTGATCCCATTTTCAAGATTTTAATCTATCTAGGTAGATGGTGAATTGTGTACTTTGTTACTAGTGTCGACTTCTGCGCTAGTTTTTGTGAGTTGCCTAGCAATATGTTGAAGGTGGTCATTTCTCTCGGGGTCATAGATCCAACTTGTTTTCTGTCTGGAAATGGATGGGTGTGTTTTCAGTGAGGCCAAGTTAATTGGTTCTGTAACTCTAGTAGGATCAATACTTGAAACAGCATGAACAAAAACTGCATTTTCTGTAGAATGGGCTAATATTGCAATGGTGAAAATCGAAGCAATATAAGGGGGTTATATGCAATGCATGCTTATTTTCTACTTCTGTAAGTGACACCAAAATTGATGTAAGGAGATTAAAATTGGGATTTGATAGGAAATGGGGACGATGGTTGATGTTGGAGGCTGGCCAGCATGACGGGGACTTTATCTCCTAGAATGATGTAGGTCCCCTCCTCTTCCCAGTTCTGTATTTCTTTTGCGACTAGTAATTTAACAAACTGCAAGATAGTAATTGCATTGAAAAAGTAAAAAAGCAAGAACATAGGTAACTGTTGAGTGTTGGCTTTGTAGAATCGTATTACACTGTTGTGTCTCAAATGTTCAAAATGTCTTCTCCTTTTTAGCCCATTTATCTCTTCCCAGTTAGCCCTTTGTTGCTATACCTTCTCTTCCTAATGCTAAGAGCACACATGCTTCACTGTTAGTAAGTTTTTACAAATTTGAATAGCTATATTGTGCACTTCAATATTGAAACTTCAATTGATTGAGGATATGTATGGTTGGGCTTTCTTAGGGAATGGAAAAGATGGGTGATGCGGGAGAGGCAAGGGTAGAGCATAGCTAAGGTGCTGATTTTGAACATGTACTCTTTTGGCGATGTTGTTTTTTAATCATCATCATTTGAATGGAAGCTTGATGAGGTTTCATGGTATGGGTAGTAAAACAATTAATGTGGTCTAGTTAATTCTCATAATCACAGAGTTTAGGAATTAAATTTGGCACATTGAACACATTACAGATCCTACAGTACTCCCAGTCTTTGCAAGAAATGAACTATGTAACCAAAGACGCGTTGTATGTGATGTGTGCTGATTATCCAGCTGGACCCTTTTTCTACCGGAAATGTCTAGAATTGAATTATGTAGGCTGAAATAATGTTAAATATGTGAATTCCATAGCAGCAGGGCAGTAGCATACATTTTCCATAATAACTGCTCTTTGTAGGGTTTGGTACCTTTCTTACAAATTTTGCCGTTGAAATTTTCATTGCATTTAGCAAATTATTCAAGCTTAGTGTTATTATTTTTGCAGGTACTTGAATTTGCCATGTTGATTCACCATCCTTTTTAAAGAGGATACAAATCTTGGATTCGTCTTTTGGAAAGCTATTCTGGGGCCGTCCTTTTAATCCTTGAGTTATTAGAAGAATGTCTCCAACAAAATAGCTTCTCTCCAAATTACTAGCCTAGACTGAAAATAATCTTCCTGTCATGTGACATGGTTTATGTCATGGATTTAGCTTCTACTTTTGTAGCGAAATACCTTTGTGTTGCCTGCTAAGAGGATTTGGTGGCACATTTTATATGATTTCTTAGATTGGAAGGTATCTCTGTTCCACGAGCAACAACTGTGGTCACACTGTCATTTTAGTTTCCAGTTGAGCAATGATGCTTGAGATGTGTGTGTCTGATTTCCAATCCTTCCTGTCTTCTGAATTGCTATGTTTCTATCTCTAAAATGTAGTCTGACTTAGTAATGTCAAAATTGCTCGTTGATGGTATCACGTGTGGAGGTGGGTGACGGCCTTGACGAACTGCACCCAGCCAGCCAACCTGAGGCTCAGGCTTTGCCGCAGCTAGCGGATATAAGATCTCCTATAATCAAGTTATCATGTTATTTTCTTAGCAAGTTAATCACCCAAAGTAGGTAGTCTTACTGCTGTCAAAAAAAGTTGTTTGGGCTAAGTTGTTAGCTACAGATTCGGTTCCCAGTTTGTTAGCGGGTTGTTTCCCAATTGTTAACGTGCTATTATTAGCTATAAAGATTTTTTTGTTTTTTTTTGAACTTCGGCGACCTTTATTACATAATGATCATATCAGTTACAAGGGAAGGTATTAAGAAATCAGGGGGGTGCTCACGCCAGACACCAGTACGCTTCCCTCTATAACTAGCACCGGCTAGCCAATGCGCTGCCGCATTACTGCCGAAAGAACTCAACAACTTACGGCAATCATCAGTCAACACCGCAGCCGATGCGCGGTACTCCAAAGGGCCCATAAATTAGCTATAAAGATTTAGTTTGTTAGTGGTGTGTTCCCCAGGTGATTCAGTTTGTTGGTGGTTTATTTCCCAAGTGCCAGCCCGCCACAAAAATTCAGTTTTTCAGTGGCTTGTTTCCCAAGTGTTAGCCAGCAATAATGGTTCAGTTAGTGCTTTGTTTCCAAGTATTGGCCGGCTATAAAGATTCAACAGTGGTTTGTTTCTCATGTGCTAGCCGGCTATAATTCAGTTTGTTAGCGTGGTGTTTACAAATAAAAGCCTGGTCACCTTGATGAACAAGGCAAGGCAAACAAGAGATCCGTCTGCTTGCTCACCCCCTGTTCACTCCTCGTCGCTGTTACCCCAGCCGAGAGCCATTCTTGGCGCCACGGCCGGCGCCAAGCCCAAGCCACGACCAATCATCCATCCTCCAATATGGTGAGCCGGGCAGTGGAGGTCAGGGAACATTCACAATGCTCATACCTGGCTCCATTGGAAACATACTACCACACTAAGAAGTGCTTTAGGTTACAAAAGTGGTCCACTTGCATCATACACCGCAAGCTACTTCCATACTACTAGTTCAGTTCTCCCTGGCAAATGTACACATACTGAACCGCAGGCACAGGCACAGAGGAGGATGCTGGAACTTAGCCCAGTAGAACAAACTTGTCGTCCACCTTCCGAAGGACGTGAACGGTCATCGTCGCCTTCCTCGCGCCTTTCATCAGCTCGAAGACGCACACGTAGCCCTCGCGCAGCCTATTGTCACGAACAAACTTGCTCCAGCGCCGGCAGTTGAAGCCTCGGGTGACACTCCCGTGGTAGTACTTCAGATACCATTTCTCTTTTCTGTTTGGCCTGAGAAGCAGCATCTCATGTGATCTCCCCTCGAGATGATCAGCTGCAAATTTGCTTGGGACGATCTGCAGGCAGAGCATTATCAGGTTCAGTATTGATTAGATACCACAAGTTCAGCAGCATCATGGATAGTCTTAACTGCAATCTTGAATATATCAGTAAGAAAATCACTATATTTTAAGGTACCATTTCTTAGATTATATATTCAGGAACCTAGGAAACAAAAAGACATCATCTAGGGAAAGGAAAACAAAAAGATGACTATATGAAAGTTCTGCCCAAAATCCCAATCTAACAGAGAGAACTCCTGTTTCCCCATACAAAGCAAGCATTTTGTTTTGGGTTCCATTATCAGCTAAAATTGGAACAAGTATCCAGCGGTTTTCAGCAAAAACAAAACAAAAGCAGAAGTTCTATGTATGTACTTTTCTTCCTAATAGCAAAAAAAATTAAACTAACCAGGAAGTTGTTCGTGCGGCGAACATGAGTCTTCTGCAGGACAGCCACATACACAGGGTTGCCTAATTGAATTGATGCCAGCCCGAATATTTCCTCTCGATCATCTTCACTCAGGCAATTTGCAAACCTTGAGTAGTAGTAGTAGTCGGATTCAGTGTGGTGGTCATCACTTTCCTCTTCTTCCTCTATTGCCTCATTCTTAAGAAAATAGTTGTTGTTCTTTGGAGATTCAGTCTCTTTCCCTGTGGAAAATGCGCATTATGTTCACCAAAGTATTTATGTCAAAATGATCAAGTACAACACAGTCACTCTTGATTATATATGGTTTTAGGCTTATGCATTAGCTGACAGCATCAGTGCCACACAAGAGCAAGCTGTGAGGAGATGCTGCAAACTTGTATTGACTTTGCTTACTTGGTTTCTTTGAAGTAGAGGCCTTGTGAGTAGACCGAACCAGCTGAGATAGTGGCATGCTAGTATCATTAGAATCACTCAAAATGCAGTGCTCTTCACCGTGTTGACACACAATGTTATCAAACTGTTTGCGCATGTTGGTACCCTTTTTACTGGCAAAGAAACATGAAACCTTCTCGCAGCCACCTGCGTCAAAGATGAGTACATCAAAGGAGCCATTGCCACTGCATTTGAAGAACAAGAGGTCATTCTCCTGCAGTTCGTGAGCCCTGGCAAATTCCACCCATCCTGGCATGAAGAACAGCTCATCGGCAATCTTTTCGACACCAACGCGCCATTCCTCGCCGCTTGGTGCTTTGAGTGTGAATCCTCCATTGGTGATCTTCCCGATGAAATTGTTGGCAATCTTCTCTGGTATGCTCTGAGATGAACACAGTAATCAGGCATCTCATGCAATTAGTTTTCCACAGTGGATGATAATGCAGCAAAAACTCCATTTAGATGACATGAAACGACTGTCATTCAGAAAGGGAAAAAATGTTCTTGAAAATAAAAAGGTAGCACTAGTATATATCCATAGTGGATACTCCACTTCATACTCACAATGCGCTGCTGAAAATCTCCTGTCATGAACTTGAAGAAGCTGATCTTGCTCACATCCTCCATGTGCTCCCAGTAGTAGTGCTCCTGCCACTCCCTGCACCTCCCACACCTTCCCTTCCCATCCACCATCAACTCACCTGCCACCACCATTGCAGATGTGCATGAAGCTTCGTCAGTTGCCAAGGCCCCAAATCCATGGATGCGATGCAAGGAAAGCAGAGTATGTGCGTACATCTGAATGCAGCTGACCCTGACCTGAGGAAGGAGGAGAGGAGGAGATGAGTTCTTGGCTTCTCCGACGAGGCTGTTGTAACTTTTCTCCTTGATGTTAACGATAAGAGGCTGCTTTGATGAGTGAGGGTGGGAGGAGTGGTTCCTAGTGAGTAAAATTTGATAGGTGTTATCACCGGGAGAGGTAAACTGGCAGACCTTGACACTGGCAAGTAGGGTCAGGGTTGGACACGTGTTAGTATGGTGAATAAAATTGATGCTCGGTGGAGAGAACAGTGATGCGTAAAAAAAGGGGAAGGAACTGAACTGAGTGAACACACAAGATGTGTGAACAGCCAGGCGGGTTCGGACCAATATTTTAGCGACTAGAGACAATAAGTTGCAAAGAAGTAAACATGAAACAATTCACACCACCTCTAAAAAACAATCCTTGTACTAATTCACTACACAGCTCACAGCTTCAAGTAGCCACATTTCTTCAGTGAACTGCCCAAAAGCCCGTACCCCATCCTCGGACCGGTTCGGTCGTTTGTTTCTTCGCAAATCGAAAATAAGTAGAAAGGAAGGCTTTGCGGGTGTCTGGATCGCTGCCAGTATACGTTTGAAACCCTCTCTCGCGCCTTTTTCGCACGAAGCAGTTGCCGCGTACTTATGCCGGTCAGCGCCGCTTCGGAGCGCCAGTTAGCATTCAAGCAGCGCCCTGCCTATGCCACGTTCCGTGTACACGCTGCATTCAAAGTCACTCGTTTGTTCGCCTTTCTTTATTGAACATTTGCAGTTGCCAAGAAACCCACTTCAATTTCAACATGTGAACGCCACCCATCCATCTGCCTATCGGCCGGCATTACTCACCCCGCCGCTTGGCCTAGCCGACGCCCGCTATTTATACGTGGCTAGGCCCGGCAACAGCCGCATCACACCTCCCTCTCCTCTATGGACCACACCAGCATCATGGTCTCGAGCTCCAAACCCCTGTGGGACGGCCTCTCCGACCGCTCAATGTCCGCCACCACATTTCAATCGCCGTCTGCTCAGGAGCTACCCTTATCTAACAATCAAGTAGCCATGCCATCACGCCGACGGATCAGGAGCTACCCTTATCTAACGCTGGAGCGTCAGCTGCAACTCCTTAAGCAGATACGGGCAAGGCGCGAAGCCTGGATCATCGCGGTGCTACCGCTGAACACGGTGGATCTGGAAGAGGAGTTCGAGGACGAGCAGGACGCAGAGAAGGAAGAGGACATGGGAGACTCAAGTCGGAGGTGGAGGCGGAGGCCAACCGCCGTATCCTCCAGGCGAAGCAGGAAGCGGACGTCGATGAGATGCTTGCCTATATGGATGAGAAGGAGGAGCCGGAGCCCTCCTACGCGCCCGTCTACCTGGCGCCCGGCATGGAGATCTTGGACATCTCCGACGACGAAGAAGCCTAGTTTAGGCTAGTGTGATTTGCATAGTATGTAGATTTTTTCATGCTTTCTATGGATCTAAGGGATGAAATATGAGGTACTCGGATGCATAGCAGAAAATATGAGGTGTGACGGTTCACTATCCATGGACACGTCCGGTCGTGACCGTGGTCGTTTGAGGGGCCGGATTTGGTGTCCACGGCTGTAGATGCTCTGATATGGTGAACCGGGCACTGGAGGTCAGTGAACATTCACAATGCTCACACCTGGTTCCATTGGAACCGTATCCACCAAGAAGTTAGCTTTAGGTGACAAACTGGTGCACTTGCATCATATGGCTGCATGGCACTGCAAGCTACTTCTGTGCTACTAGTTCAGTCCTCCGTGACACATTTACACACACTGAACCTCAGGCACATAAGAGGATGCTGGAACTTAGCCCAGTAGAACAAACTTGTCGTCCACCTTCCGAAGGACGTGGACCGTCATCGTCGCCTTCCTCGCGCCTTTCATCAGCTCGAAGATGCAGACGTAGCCCTCGCGCAGCATATTATCACGAACAAACTTGTTCCAGCGCCGGCTGTTGAAGCCTCGGGTGACCCTGCTGTGGTAGTACTTCAGACACCATTTCTCTTTCCTGTTTGGCCTGAGAAGCAGCATCTCATATGATCTCCCCTCAAGATGATCAGCTGCAAATTTGCTGGAGATGATCTGCGAATTACGGGAGGTGGTCATTAACTGGTTCACAAATTGCGGTAGTAGTTCAGAAGCAGCATGGAATTGGACTAGCTGTTGAAAATTGAAATGGTCTTAACTGCTGTCATTCTTGTAGTATATCACTATATGTTTAGGTACCTTTTTTTAGATTATATATTCAGGTACCTAGGAAACAGAAAGATGAAGTACATGAAAGCTTTTGCCTAGAAGCCCAATCTACAACAGAGAGAAGTTCTATATTTTTTTCCCATACATAGTGGAAGCAAGTATCCTGCGGTTTTAAGCAAAAGCAAAACAAAGGTGGAAGTTCTATGTATGTACTTTTCAACCTAATAGCAGAATAATTAAACTAACCAGTAAGTTGTTTGCAGGGCGAACGTGAGCCTTCTGCAGGACAACCACATATACAGGGTTGCCTGACTGAATTGATATCTGCCTGAATATTTCCTCTCGTTCATCTTCGCTCAGGCAATTGGCAATCCTTGAGTAGTAGTAGTTGTTGGATTCAGTGTGGTCGTCATCACTTTCCTCTTCTTGCTCCACCTCGTTCTTAAGATAATAGTTGCTGCTGTTTGGAGATCCATTCTCTTTCCCTGTGGAAAATTACACATTATGTCGAAAAAATGATGAAGTACAACACAGTCACTCTTGTTTATATATGGTTTCAGGCTTATGCATTAGCTGACCACATCAATGGTACATAAGTACAAGTTGCGAGGACGCACTGCAAACAGTTTGCCTAAAAGTAATACAAATTCATATATTTGATTGCAGTTCTGGCACCTGGCACCGCCACTGGCTGCAAACTTGTACTCCCTGCGACACTTATTTTGGGAAGGAGGGAATATTAGTTTTACTTACTTGGTTTCTTTGAAGTGGAGGCCTTGTGAGTAGACCGAACCAGCTGCGATAGTGGCATGCTAGTATCGTCAGAATCACTCAAAATGCAGTGCTCTTGTCCGTGTTGACTCACAATGTTATCAAACTGTTTGCGCATATTGATACCCTTTTTATTGGCAAAGAAACATGAAACCTTCTCGCAGCCGCTCGCGTCAAAGATGAGTACATCAAAGGAACAATTGCCACTGCATTTGAAGAGCAGGAGCTCGTTCTCCTGCAGTTCGTGAGCCATGGCAAATTCCTCCCATCCTGGCATGAAGAACCGCTTATCGGCAATCTTTTCGACACCAACGCGCCATTCCTCACCGCTTGGTGCTTTGAGGGTGAATCCTCCATTGGCGATCTTCCCGATGAAATTGTTGGCAATCTTCTCCGGTATGCTCTGAGATGAACACATTAAACAGGCATCTCATATAATTAGTTTACCTCAAGTGGGAGTTCATGATAATAATGCAGTAAAAACTCCATTTAGACGACAGGAGAGGAAACTAACTAATGCAACAAACCAATCGATGACAGAAAGGGAAAAAATGTTCTTGAAAAAAAGTTACTACGTGTACATCCATGGTGCCGCTTCATACTTACAATGCGCTGCTGAAAATCTCCTGTCATGAGCTTGGAGAAGCTGATCTTGCTCACATCCTCCATGTGCTCCCAGTAGTAGTGCTCCTGCCACTCCCTGCACCTCCCACACCTTCCCTTCTCATCCACCATCATCTCACCTGCTACCACCATTGCAGACATGCATGAAGCTTCGTCAGTTGCCAAAACCCCAAATCCACATGAAGCTTCGTCAGTTGCCAAGGCCCCAAATCCATGGATGCAGTGCAAGGAAAGCAGAGTATGTGCGTACATGCAGGATGCAGCTGACCTGAGGAAGGAGGAGAAGAGGAGATGAGTTCTTGGCTTCTCCGACGAGGCTGTTGTAACTTTCCTCCTTGATGTTAACGAGAAGAGGCTGCTTCGATGAGGGTGGGAGCCTGGGAGGGGTGGTTACGAGTGAGTGAAGTTTGACAGGTGTTACCACCGGGCGAGGGTAAATTGGCAGACCTTGACACTGACATGTGGGGTCATGGTGGGACACGTGTTGGTAAGGCGAGCTGAAGTTGGTGCTCGGTGGAGAGAACAGTGATGCGCAAATAAAAAAAGGGAAGGAACTGTATTGAGTGAGCAGACCAAGATGTGTGAACTGTGAACAGACAGACGGGTTCGGACCAACATTTTAGCGACTAGAGACAATAAGTTGCAAAGAAGTAAGCAAACACGAAACAATTCACACTACCTCTAAAAAGAAAACAATCTATGGACGAGGAGTAATTGAGCGCGAGCACAGATGCTCTCGATATCCAGGTCGTTCGTAACTCCATTGGGATCTGAGACTTTTTCTTATACGCATCCAGATGGGCTTTCAAGAAATCATTACGCGATGGAAATACGTACCCAACGGGTGTGGGTCGTGGGCCAAGCAGAAGGCGCAATACAACCTGAGATAAGGCGGGGTTGGACGCCCGTCCACCGTCGACGAGGTGAGCCGTGGCTCGGAACCGGAGTGACGTCTGATCCATGGCTCAGGTTGTTTCCTTTCCGTGCGCTGTCAAGGAATTCGATGCAGGCGCGAGCGCCTCCCCTACACAGATCGAGGGTCCCTGCGAGATAGAGACGCGGAGCTATGGCGGCGAGCGACAATGGATTTTTTAATGCAACCAATCGGCAGGTACGCGCATCCGTGCTTTTCCCTGCGGTCTCTCCTTGGTTTGTAGGTGGATTGCTTTCGTGGCTGACAGAGGAGCTTCCAATTTTTCAGATCTTGTTTCATTGAGGATGTGGGGGAGAGCTTGGTGCCGCCCCCCTGTGACTGCGGCCGTAGGCTTGGCGACGGGCCCTGTGTCTGCCAATGGCGATATGCGGGTACATCTGATGGTTTCGCAACAGCCGCAGAAGTCTGGGTGGAATAAGTTGTGAGTGTGAAAACTTGGTGTTTGCATTAGGAAATTCAGAAATTTGATGGTGGGGTGGGTAGATGCGGTGTTGATTTTAGACATGTCTGACCAAATCATTCATATGGAGCTAAATTCTTTGAGTGCTGCGGGCTTATTCTTTTTACAAATTTGATTAGAGATATGTTGGTGTGTGCAGGTTGAGGATTGGTGCCGCTGCACCCAGCAGGACACCACACCCGAATCGTATTACTGCATTCGAGAAGGCTGTCAGATGTTTTACCGATTATCCATCTGAAACTGTGATCTCTCCAGTTCTGGGGACTTCATTTGAATCGTTGGGTGAGGCTTATAATTTTTGCAATCTATATTCCTGGGAGAAGGGATTTGGCATAAGATATGGAAAAATAGCCGACTTAATGTCAAGAAGATGAAATGCGTGTAGGAAATAGTTTGTGGGTGCTTGGTTACTGGTCTTTTCTTGAATGCTATTTGTTCAGCATTATGATGCATCCATTCCCGCCTCTGCTTTTGTTTCGTGCATTGATGGTAAATTGTATTCATGGTCCAGGGGAAGGCTGGTGTAAAGAACACAAGGTCCTGCCAGTGTCAATGTCCAGCTCTGATAAGATTTTTGTGGGCTGAGGAAAAATGTTGGTACATTGCAGAGCATAGAGAGAGTCATAACCATTCACCTTCACCTAATTTTGGGGAGACGATCCACTGGCCAATGGCCATCACACAAGCATATTCATGTTTACATCAGGGAATGTTCCATTCATGAAAAGGTCTTTGCGTAATCAGTGTGGGAAGATAAACTGGGAGCAGGCAAACAATGATATGAGGAAGACGATGCATGTGTTTGAAGAGATTGGAGCGAAGGATCCCACATTATATACAGAGTTCAAGTTGATAACGATGGTAGGATTGACAACCTCATGTGGGCTAGCGGCAGCAGTAGGCTTCAGTACACATTTCTTGGAGATGTCATAACATTTGATACCACGTATAAGATAAACCTAGGAAGTCAAGCAAGGCAATAGATGTATTTTATTCATTGCATAGGAAGTCAAGCAAGGCAATGCATGGGAAATGTTTGCAGAGAGAACTGAAATAACGATTAAACTTGTTAGCCTTCTTTTTCGGTACATGTTGCCAGGGAAAAATTTATGTAGTGAGCAGACGGCTGTGGGGAGTTTCAAATGTTAGAAATAAGTGTTACTGGTAAAAAAAACTATGGTTTAAAATACGTAGAGATTTTATTTTTTTGTGCAGGTGGGTGTTGTTAGAGAACTGAATTAAGGATTAAACTGTGGAATGAGAAGACTGCTGTTGTTTCATGTGTTGTTACTTTTGTGAGCTTGCATGCTTGTATAACGGCTGCAGTGTTAATGTTGAAACACTTAGGCTAGTGTGGGGTGTGTTCAACGATATTTGGAAACAGTTAAGACTGGCAAGTTGTTACTGTTAGAAATGATTGTTTCAGGAGAATTGATGATGTTAAAAGAATGTCAGAAAAATGAAGTATGGATTAAGCCATGGAATGAGAAGATTGCTGTTGTGTTACGTGCTGTTATTTATGTGAGCTTTGATGTACATATAACGATTGCAGAGGGTTAGTGTGCGCTGTTCCGAATAATATTTCGAAAGAGTTAAAAGACTGTTAATTATTTTGCATTAAAAATCATTGGTTGAGGGTGAGGATAGGAGTGTCTGAAAAGAAAGGTGAATCCTGCAGACTGAAAGGTGGTGGAGAACGTGGAATTAAATTGGCGTCAGTATACAGCCGGTGTTGGTACCCAACAGGACCTGAGCCGTGGCCCATGCCGTCAATTTCGTCTGTGCGGGCGGCAGCTTAAGATAAGTCATGCCATTTAATAGCTGACAGTGGTGGGCCAATGTGCAGGGGAAAATTGGATATACACGACCACATACAGGTCTCTATACAACTGTTGATGCGAATCCATAAAAAAACTAGCGATGGAGATAAAGAGCACATATGTGCTCGGGCACAGATACGCACTTTCAACAATCTATGTACTATTTCAGTACACAGCTCGCAGCTTCTAGTAGCCACGTTGCTTCAGTGAATTGCGTAAGTTCCTTATACGCATTGGAACTCTATCTGGTCTCTAGCTGACAATGGGGTCCCTGTCCTGTCTTAGTGGCACAATAAAGCAGCAAATAAAGATAAAGAAACTAGTGTGACATGGAGCGAAAGTGCCCTTCTACTCTCGACCTCAAATGCTTCTCTATGCACAGTAAAATAAAACTAAACTAACCCGCAGAGGGGATCTCTTCTTTTTTTCTATCAACATATAATACGCATGCTTGTGCATATTATAGAAAAATTCAAAATTGTATAACAACTATTTAATTTTCTTCCTGCATTCGTGGAGTCAACACTCCGAAATGCTTTCAAAAAATTAGTCTTTTTGGAGCAGTGATTTTCCTTTTTTTTTACCCAGAATATTAGGTTCATGAAAGTTTGCACATATGTAAACATTCAAGATAATATTTCCGTTGTGCTATTGTATTGATCTAATCCTCATATTTGATATATATAAAGTACAATTGTAAGGGAGAGATTTGAAGTAGAGGATAAGTTACACGTGTTTTGAATTTATTAGAGTAACTTTAATAGAGCAACTTATTTCGGCCGTCGTCGTTCGTTTGGGTTGGCGCTGACACAAAAGGCGGACCAACGCGCCGACCCAAACAGACGGACAGATTTTTGAGCTAGATTTGCATCGGCATGGTCACGAGACGGACGCGCGCGCTCGCCTTCTCCTCCCCCGGGTCCGCTGGTCGGTGGCACATTGGCCTCGCCCATCCAACTGCAACCCTCGCCCGCCTCCTTCGTCGCTGACGCCACCGCCCATTTTTTCGGCGACTCTGCCAGCTGTCGGCGCCTCCACGTCCACCCAGCAACGCCGCCAACTCCCACGTCGCCAGCCACCGCCGTCTTGCCACCGGGGAGCCGACTGCTTCCCACTCCCACTCCCCCTCCCCCCACCACACAGTCGCGACCGCGAGCAAGAAGCCGCCTCGCCGCCCCGGCCAGATCCTCACCGGCACGCTCGTCGGACGTCGGCCCACTCGTCGGACGCCGGCAGGGTAGCTAGCTGGTCCGTGCGCGCCGCGACTCCCTTCGTCGGCCGTCTCCTTCATCGATGCCCGCAAGTTGTTCAACAGTTTGCCCAAGGTACAAAATAGACTCCGTCGACGAGTTCTTTTTTCACAATTTCCTTTGCGACTTCGACGATTCGTCGTCCGATGGCGAGGAGGAGATATTGGCTGCCGTATTTGTCCATCACCACCTTAGCAGCCAGCGGCCGTTGTTCCGTGGCTCCATTCCGGGCCACCTTCCGGCGTTGAATCGCAACCGAGAGAGCGGGCATTTCCTTTCTTTGGAAGGACTACTTTGATACAACAAACCCATTGTTCAAACATCAAAAATTCGCCACCGTTTCCGTATGAGTAGACATCTTTTCAACCGTATTAGAGAGGGGGTGGTCGGCTATGATGACTATTTCGAGTGCAAAGAGGATGTCGTTGGCAAGATTGGTTTCTTCTCTTATCAGAAAAGCACTGCCCCCATCCGAATTCTTGCATACGGAGTGCCCGATGATCTCATTGACGAGTACATCCATATGAGCGAGTCTACATGCCTAGAGTCCCTGTATAAGTTCTGCAAGGTTGTTATTGATGTGTTTGGCGCTGAGTACTTGAGAGAGCCAACTCCTGAAGATACAACCCGTTTGTTGGTGATGAATGCCAGCAGGGGCTTCCCAGGGATGCTTGGCAGGATAGACTGCATGCACTGAGAGTGGAAGAACTGCCCTTCTGCTTGGCAAGGGCAGTATAAGGGCCATGTCACGGCTTGCACTGTCATACTAGAGGTCGTGGCGTCTCAAG